GTATTGTCAAAGGGTTCATTTGCACTTTAAAGAAATGATACTCTTGGGAATGACACTTGGGCCGAAATGGGAAAACATTACACTAAAGCCGAAATGGTCTATTGCACTTTTCCCCACTTTTTACATTTATCCTTTTTTTAAACAGGATGATGAGGCTATTGAGCTGAAGACCCACATTCGAAAAACTAGTTCTAGCAGCAGCGTCGTGGACGGTCTTGCGCGTGGTTTTCTTGGAGGTACGACTGAGTTGGTTGAAAGATTGCAGGCTCAAATAAGACAAAAAGATGGAGAGATTAAAGTGTTACAGGTAAGTTGTAAATACAGCTGTTTTAAAAAGAATGCGTGAAGGTCTTGTTACGTGTTACATACCAAGCCTGAAATGCACTATTGGCGATATGGATGCAATCAACGAAAGCTCAAAACAACATGGAATTTCTCCAAACTTTGTTTGCATGTTTTAAGTTCCAGTATATTTTCTTCTGTGCTGACATTATTTACATAAGAGTCATTCAACAAAACCTTCACCGACCTTTTTTGAAATTGCTGCATATACATATTTGGAAACCTGTTTTATACTGGCTAAACCCAGACTCTGGACTGAACCTGTTATAATAATTTATCTTTAGGACGAAGTGACGTCACTGCGCCAGTCACGTGATTCGGTCATGGAGGAGCTGACAAAGATGATTAGTGAGTTGCATGACTTGGAAACGAGTCACGAACAGCTTATACTTCTCAAGGCCAAATACGATGTGAGTGTATCCTTCATTTTCAAAACAACATCCTTTGACTGGTTTTCACTTGCGATGAAATTGAACTCAAAAGCAGTTTATGACAAAGTGAAAATGAGAAAACGTCGGAAGAGTCGGAATCCGATTCAGATGTGCGTTTGGCTCAATTTTGCTTACGTACGTTTATGAAGAGCGCTTTTTTCGTAATTTCACTCATGAACTTGTTCCGACTCCGATTCTGTCGCAAGTGAAAATCATGCCTCTATCTTCAAACATTATATTTGATGTTATATGGTTTAGTACTAAAGCTTGGGAAATGGACTATACTAATAAGAAATAGGCCTCAAACATTTAAGAAAGTGTGTTAATTGTGGTTTAATAGGATTTAGAGCAGCGCTACAATGCGGTGCTACAAATGTATGGAGAAAAAGAAGAAGAAGCAGAAGAACTAAGAATGGATTTACACGACGTGAAATCCATGTACAAGCAACAGGTCGGTCAGCCAGTGCTAACTTGTCTCTCCATTTCCCATTTTTTCATCTGCCTAATATACAAGCAACCTTCTATTCATTCTCCCTTTCTTGCTACCTCCCTCACCAGCCCTCCCTCACTAGCCCTCCCTCCCTCACCAGCCCTCCTTACCTCCCTTATTTCCTTTAGCAATGGACTACTTCCACGATACGGCTGCCATCGGGGCAGGGGGCAAAACAAAACAAAGATGTTGAATATGTCGATATAATTTGACTATCTAGGCAATTAACAATATTTAAAAAATCTCAAAATAGCACTGAAAATATTCATTTGGTCGACCTTCCTGTTGTTGTGGTTGCGCTGTGGTCATGTTGTTGTTCCCTTCCGCCTTCTTTCCGTTCTTCCTCCTTCCCCGTTTCTTCCTTTTGCTCTCTCTGTTTTCCTTCGTTATGGCTTTCTTCCATTTTTCGTGTTTCCATTTATTATGCCTTTCTTTGTCTCATTACTTTCTCTCCCATTTCCCATTTTCGTGTTTCCATTTATTCGGTTTGCATTTGTTTTTGCGGGAGTCTCTCATTATCACTGTTTCTTTTGCAGCTTGAGCAGCTCTTTGGTTCGACCAGATAACGTCTAGTCAACACTAGGGTCTATAAACACTGGTATTACATACTTAAGTAAACAGTCGAAGGTCATAGGTCACGTGTCATACCAGGACCCAAGGGGTAAACACGAGGGTCTATAAACACTGGTATTACTTAAGTAAACAGTCGAAGGTCGTAGGTCACGTGTCATACCAGGACCCAAGGGGTCAACACGAGGGTCTGTTAACACTGGTATTATATACTTAAGTAAACAGTCGAAGGTCATAGGTCACGTGTCATACCATGACCCAAGGGGTAAACACGAGGGTCTATAAACACTGGTATTACATACTTAAGTAAACAGTCGAAGGTTATAGGGCACGTGTCATACCATGACCCAAGGGGTCAACAAGTGGGTCTGTAAATACTGGTATTACATACTTAAGTAAACAGTCGAAGGTCATAGGTCACGTGTCATACCAGGCCCAAGGTCCGTATCTACCTGGTGTTTGCTATCACCTTTAAAAAAGGCCTTTCTACATTTTACATTTTAATTTTAGCGTAACTTTGGAATTCAACTAAAACGAAATCAGTCATGGTTTATAAAATTGGTTCAGGGAATTTAAAATTTGCTGTTGAATGAAAGTTATTAGAATTTACATTGGTGAGATAAATAGTTTTGTTTTTGATTATTTTTTTCGCTCAGTCGAGGTTTGGCAAAATTGGTTCAGGGAATTAATACATTAATACTATGTGCTGTTGAATGAAAGTTATTTGGGTATCAATCAGAATTTGCGTTGATGGGATAAATAGCTTTGTTTCTGATCATTCTTTTTACGCTCATTCTTACATTCATTCACTTTTCGTTTGAATTCAAGCCAAATATTTTCCTTCAAATGATGGTCTTTATCTGTTATGTACTTTTAAGCGCCATGCGCTAGCTCTGGCTGTTATGCCTTATCTTACAATCAACTTACAGTTCTTACTGTGCTTTCAATCATAATCCCAAGCGGGAAAGCTATGTGCAATTCTTAAAAAAGAATGACATTACCCCCCCCCCCCCAAAAAACTGCTGAAGAAATAAAAAACGCGCGCGCGTCCTTTGTGCCGTTTTAAAGCACGCGGGTTTATCAGAGCACGACGCGTAGCAACTGAAAGTGCGTGCTCCTGCAGTGTACTCTCATAGAGCATTACCCTGCAATAAGAACGCGAGATTTATGAGTGTGATTTTAAAAAGAAACCCTTTATTGAAATATCGGTCACTGGTTGTAGGGTACAAGTTGTGTATAAATATCAGCCTTTCATTTTACAGTATAAAACGGGGCTGGGAGATAAATGGGATGAAATTAAGTGGGTGACCGGCCCTGCAATTTGGGATGGGAGGAGCGGTGTTATCCCAACTCAGTAGACTTTTAAATGTACGACTCTGCTATGTCTTTTATCTACCAGACAATCTATGTCCAGACAACCTGAGCTGTTCGCCTTTCTTATGATATTCGGGTGGGATTCCTGTGTCATTTTGAAAACGTTTTCCTTTTTGGGCCTCCTTTGTCAAGTGCGAGGTTTCTTAGCTAAATCCAAGATGGTGGACAACTTCAAGTTTTACATCCCTATGATATCTCCAAGTTTTGACTGCTATTTTCGACATTTTAAAAGCTTGAAATGACGGGGAAATCTCCAAAGAAGAATCTATGTTCACTTTCAAATCAAGGTAAGCTTGCCAAATATGGATGGAACGGGACACATTTTTGGGCAAATATGTGTAAGACCAAAGTCAATAGAAGAATAGTATTTTCCCCCAAAGAAACCACAACAAAATCTGCTTCCTTTTCATCTGGGACAAAAGGTTTTAGTATAAAACAAATAACGATAAGATACCCGAGTTTGATTGTCATTTTACTGTTGACTGAATACAGGATGCAAAACTTTTTAAATATGAAAAGTATGTTGCATTACAATTAATGTTTTATTGCCAGTGAAGGTCAATAGCTGGTTAGCGACCGAACTGATTGAGCAACAGTAAAATGGCAATCAAAGTCAGGTACCTTCTAAATTTTTAAGGAACTGAATAGATATGGTATTCTAAGCCGGTATGTTACTAAACTCAGTCAATGGCCTGACTGTCGCTTTTGGGTAGAGTTTTACAGCCAACGCGCCCTCTAGCGATTGTTTCTGTCGCGACGAAGGTTTTGGTGGACGTCAATCACAAGGCGTTTCAATAACATTGTCGGAAAACACAAAGCTATAAGGGCACGTGCCATAGAATAGAGAGTTTTAGATTGACTTTTTTTCCTTCCCGCAAACGGCAAACGTGACCACGTTTTCATCGTTTTCCTGTATTTTACTTAACCTCTTGCAAACTTTCATTTCACAAACAAATATTCTTTTGTTTTTCTACTAGGATTTTTTTGCGATTCCTTTTCAGTTATTTAAAAGAATTTTTCACTGCCATTAACTGACGTTACACGTTTGCCGTGAACGTCAATCTAAAACTCTCTAATGTCATGAAAAACGCCTTGATTGACGTCCACTATTCGAGAAGAAAAGTGCCAGAGCTTCGAGCAAATGAAAATGTTTGCTGATTGGCTAATTCATTCGGGCTGAAAGAAACAAAATCAGCTGCGCAATGGTTCCCCTGTTTAGAAACTACCAAATACATCGCTTGGGATCCCTGTGCTAAAAGCTTATGGACTCGTACAACCATCAGTTATGAAGTGATGACCTTGCAGTTATCAGTCAAAAGAATCTTCTCACACAGACTCTTGGGAAGTCTTGTCAGCCAATCGCATGTGCTTGTCAACAGTCAACGTCAATATCTCATGATCACAATAATCAGAATCTGCGCATTTTTTCTATTTTAAAACCTTGACACCTGGTATTGTTTAGAAATAGTCATCAAGATTAATTTATTTGTAATTATAAAATCACTACATAACGAGAAATGAAACTATTCGTTGCAAACTCGAACTAGAGCTGCTCTGTGCGCGGCGTCTCGTTTCTTGGAAAATTAATCTAGTAAAAATTGAAAGTGCATCGCTAAAGAACTTGTGTTAATGAACTGACGTCAGAAGAAATGTCGTTGTTGGAAAATGAGGCGTTCGTCTTGTCAGATTTGAATTTGTTTGAAAAAAGTAATGACGAGAAAGAAAACTACTCTCCTTCAGGCAGCATGAAGATGCCGCTATTAAAAATCAAACAGGGTCGAAAGGGAAATTGGATTTGCGATAGTTCGACAAAAGAGCAGAAAAGTATAGCTGAGTCTGTGGAGAAAAATTTGTGTCGACGAGTACGACTCGGTCAAGTAAGTCGTTGTTCTCTTTGTGTGTGTCATTTTCGAATTGCCTCTGACTCTTTATATCTAACTCGCGCAGAGCTTTCTTTTTTTCTTCTCGTGCTCTTTCTTTATCTTTCTTTTCTCTTTCTCTCTCCCTCTCCCTCCCTCTCTTTCTTTCTGTTTTTCTCTTTGTTCTTGTTTCTTCGTTCTTTTTTCTGACTCTCCTTTTTTCCCAATTATTTTTCTATTTCTTGACCATTAATCATTGAGGACTTCAGTTAGTTAGAGGCGCAAAGCAACAAAACGCGGTTCAAGCATGTAAAAATTTTCTTTCGGCAGGATAATGTAGGTTAATTACTGCTTAGAAAACTGCTTCAAATAGATCTTGTAACGATGAAAGCATTAAATGATTTGAATAAATCTGTGCCGGGGACACGTTTGCCGAAGAACATAGCGTCCAAGCATATAGAAAAAAATCTTTCCACGAATATGTAATTTAATTACTGCTTAGAAAAAACTGCTTGATGTTACGCTAAGATGAAACATTGAATGATTTGATTTAATCTGTGGAAGATATTCGTCGAATGTATGCATGGAATTATGATATAATATATGTATGACTCTTTTCGAAAAAAAGTTTTTTTAATGCTGCTATTAAAAAAGTCCCATAGCCATAAATCTTACTTTTTTTCAAGGCCAATATATCGAACTCAGAATGTTAAGGAATTCTTTGGGAATTTTTAAAAATACTGAAAAAATAAGGCAAAGATTTTGTTCATGTTGGAGAAGACAAAACGAAAACCAAAAAAAAAACCATAAAATGCCAGCTTTTTTTTTCCTTTTTTTTTCTTCTGGAAACGCCTAAAGATTTCTTCCACGCATCTTCGTTTCACTACGCCATGAATTCTAAGTTTTGACTCGACCCAGCGAAAATGACTCGCTGAAATAAAGAGAAATAATCATGAAGCATAACAGATTTTACGGTTTGAATATTTTCTACCATTTCACATACAACTGAAACACATTCAGTCAGCTTTATAATAATCTCATATTTTAGGGCATATAGCTTCCAAACGAGTAAGCACTGCATTAATTAAATTTCAACTTTATTTTATTACTTTCTCAAATGAGTCGCCTGTCAAAATGATTGAACGGATATGTAAAATTTTCATCGTTCTACAAACTTTCACAGTTGGATTCTATAGTATTATAAAACAATAGAAAATCATTTTTATTCGTCCTTTTCAAGCAAAGTGTAATAAAATATAGAATTAGGAATAAATAAGAAACATCTAGATATGGTTGACATGATAAATATTTCTCATTAATGCAAGCTGCTTCAGGCACTTCAGCTTATTCCTGTCCTTGATTCAAGGACTCTTACAAAATCTAGATCTCCGTGATCAATTTAAACATTAATTAATCATTAATTAAGTCGTTGGACTGTGAGAGGTGGTCTCCGTTGTTCATTAGTCTGTAGTTTTGAAAAAATATTGCGGTTCTGTCATCCCCCCATGCACCATGCACTTTAGCCTTGTCGCCTTTTTCAAGATTTATTTCAAAAATACCTGGGGCTTTATTGGTCGACCTGGGGTTTTTGTCGCCTTCTGGGGTTTTTAAAAAGGCAAATATGTCAAACAAAAGATAGAAATACATATGTTATAAGCAGATGTATGTATGCGACATTGGGAAAGCTAAGTACAGTAAGTGAATTTAGCTTGCGCCTGAACTGAAGTTTTGGAAGTGTTTGCTGTCTCTGCAATTTGTTCATCAATTAACGTCAACTTTGTAGATTATTCGTTCAAACTATCAGTGAAGTTTCCTTCAATTTGGATTACAGTGCCGTAGTTGCCGTACTTCTTATGACAGATATCAACTTAAGGAAATGGGGAAATTCAAACTGGACTGACAATGATAATTACAGCACTGATAATGATAGTTACACACTCCCTTGAGTGATCACGAAATAATGGCTTCAAGTTTGGACTTGATAAAATACAGTTAAAATGTATGAACACGTCAAGTCTACCCTCACTTGAAATCATTGTTTGGTCTTCACTAAAGCGAGCCATGGAAAGGCATATTACAACAGGGAAAAAACATACAATATAAACAACTGGAACAGAAGCAAAAGAATGATCAAGAAATAAAAACATCACTTACGACTCCAGCTTAAGCAACGACAACAAAAACAACGACAACATGGCACAACAAAACAAAAAGCAACTACAGCAGCTTCGTACATCAAAGAATTGACTAAACTGCTACTACCACCACAACATTAAAAAGATTTCAAAAATTTTATAATTTAGAAGTTGTCTACATACAGTGACAACTGTTTTTTTCTGTCACCATAAAGTAAACAAAGTAAGAATATGACCAAAGTGGAAAATAGTAATGATTTATATCAGTTTCAATGATTTACATTTTTTTTGAGAAATCCAAGATCATCATGAACAGGATCAAGCAGATCAGCCGTTACCATGGTATCACACGACACTTTGAAGCACTCGACGGAATTGTTCTTCACAATACTACTTTTTTACGATAACATCCACGGATAAGTTTTTGAACTTCCTGTACAGACTAACTAATGAACTAACCCCTTGCATATAACCTGATAGGCATCTTTCTTTTCAGTAGTAATCAAGCCTCGCTTTTTTCCACTCAATTTACCTAAACGCGGAAACGGATATCAGACAAAACTGACACTTCTTTTATAATCCTTGTGGCTTGATTTCTTGAAGAAAAAAAGACTTCAAGGCAAAGCTTGACATATAGGCTGATAGTTATCAATTATTCTAAACGACCATAATTCATCAGCTTCGCCAATTAGCCCAAAACGCGGAAACGGATATCAGACACTTGACACTTGTTTTATAAACCTTGGGGCTTGATTTCTTAAAGGAAAAAGGACTTCAAGGCAAAGCTTGACAATAAAGGCTTCATCAGAGTTAAACGGCTGGAGATTACTTTCATGTCGAGCCATTGAAAAAAACTTGAATTATAATGAACGACTCAGTTCAAAGATATTTCGCGCGATAAAGTCCTCTCGAAGCAGTATAATTTGTTAGTGTACAAAAAACACTTTTAATTACATTTTATCATTATCTACATCTTTGTGTTTTAAGATTTTATTCGATAACTGTTGCAGTACATTAACACGCGCGATGGTCTTCTACTCCTTGATGCACACAACGCGTTGCATCATAAGGCAGTTTTAGGGACGCCTTATTCGTAATATGGCACCCCCTCCAGTTAATGGATTCATAAAATGTCAACAGACTGATGGATCTTTCCCCAGACAGCCCAATAATGCAACGCAGTTTTACAACTTTGCAGCGGCTAATATGAACCTCATCATGAACCTTTACTAGAGGTCTTACCATGCCTTGGGGGAAAACCTAGACCTTCTTTCAGTACCTCCTTACAATATTTTTTAAGAACAAAATGGAAGAGATGTCCACCATTTTACGCCCGAGCCACGAAAGTTCCAACCATCTAATTTCAACTACCCAGTTATTTTACTACCCTCAGGGTCAATTTCCGTCCCCAAGCAATTGAATCATAGAAAAAAAAACCAAATCATTGAAGCTAGGCTCGGTTTTAGCCCTTAGGTTGTCGTTTGTGCAAAGCGGACCTCCCTCCACTCCGAGGTAATTTCAGTTCTAAATATCAAATCAGGATTCTACAGGGGTCCCAACATTATGTTATGCAACAGAATGTTAGGAATGATTTGTTTACATAAATATGCTTTTTGTATATGATTCTGCAAGTCTAGCATGTTTAGTTTAGTAAACCGAGACTATTTTGACTTGGAAATCTACTTGTAGTTTCCTGTTCTACATACCTCTTTAAACCTAAACATTCAAACCACCAAGGCTGCGTTCATAATGTAGTGAAAAGTTTGGTAGGAAAACGGGGGGGGGGGGGATGCACAATTTTTGGAAGAAGCTACAAGCCTTGCTTAGGGGGGATCGCATTTTTTTTTATGACTTTAAGAGGGGGTATTAAAAATTATTCTGGACATTTCAAATTTTTTTCTGGTCAACCCTGACTCTGCTCTAGTTTGTGTAGTTAGATCTGATACTCAACTCGTATAAACGTCTAACACGAGATTCAATAAAACGTGTGGCTCGACAGACCAGAGATCCCATGCGTCTTACAATTACATTTCCTGTTTTTAAGATATTGGTCAAGTTCAACTTCTTCGTTATACCAGCATTATTTCAAGTATTTATAAGGACTCTGCTTAAGACTTGTTTTGATCACGTTTTGTGTTTTGATGTTTCGACAGGCAGGGAGGATTCGAGAATTCTTTCAAGTGCTCCTTCATATTTTGCTTTAAGGATTTACGTAATTGGTTGAGTCATCAAATTATTTTGAATTAATTCCTCGCGTTCTATTGATAATTACTCTTCGTATTGATCGTAATATTCTTAATTTATCTTTGAGAGTAATTAAAGAAAAATGCTGAGTCACTAGCTCATAACCGTCCAGAAATCAGGAGTCAAAAGCGACGTATGATTGAGAAATAGAAAGTCCCCTATAAACTAAGCTCATCTTCGCTAGAAAAGACATCTAAATACTAAATCTTGTTATAGCGTCTTTAGCCCCTTTTTTGGAGCAGACCTCATGATATTTCACTTCATGTTGACTTAGGCCCCGTCGTATCCGGATATTTTTAAGACAATATTTTTTTCCGTATTGGCCTTGAAATTTAACGCACCTTTTTGAAAAGGGGTACGTGTGCACAGGCGATAACGATTCGAGAACGCTATATGTGAACGAGAATTTTTTCAAAAAAGGAATAAACAAATCTATTTTCAAAAATTTCAAAATACGTGTGGACGGGGTCTTATTCATTTTTTCGTCCCCCACGCTATGAATTTCATTGATACGAGACAGTATACTACAAACAATCTCATCCAGTCGCCCATTCAAACAGGAAAGGCTTCTCATAGTTTCTGTCTAAATATTTATTATTGTCTTACAAGCAATCTAATTTTATTGCCAGCGGTTCCGTTCTGTATGAACTATCGTATAAACTAGTCATCTTTTATTTACATTTCATAAATTCACATCGTAAATATCTATGATGACTGCTAGCAAACTGTATAAATAATCACTTCTGTCGGTGTTTAGGATATTTATACTCCCTGATCTCATGAATGGATTCTATTTCTGATTTCAATTAGCTTTCGTCTTGGTTGAATGTAACACAAAAAAAATTCATTAAAATTTGCAATAATGTCAACCAAAAGGCAGCAACGTCGGCGTCTTTTCTTGGGAATGATTTGAATTTCACCAACTATTATCGAACCTTTATTGCTTACCATGTTTTATTGGAATGAAATCCGGGTGGATCCTCAATGACGTCATCACTGTTCTTAAATTTTTGCCTCTTTGGCATATAAAAATAGAGTCGAGCTCAAGCCAAAAAATCGCCGTAGGCATTACTTGAGAAGTGATGGGAAAGCTCCAATGAGTCAGCAGTTTATGAGCAAAAAGTAGAATATGCTAAAATTTACCTTTTTCGGATTTATCGAATACCGCAAAAATCTTATTTGATTACAGACTCATTTAGAGTGAAGTCACTAAACCCGTGAAATAGATATTGAGACTAACACACTTTAGTAGACCCTAATTCCATTGTTTTCTTTTGTGTCTAGTTTGACTATTACGCTTTGACTAGTATTTTTTATTTCATGGGTTAAATGCCTTCACTCTATACCTTATTTCAATGTCAGAATATTTATTCACAACTACCAATGGAGCAAAGTCAGGAATGCACAACTTCAACGGCAATTCAACGACAAAAAAAAAAAACTTTAAAATCCCACGGACTTTTGGTGCAATAAAGTAATGTTTTACGCAAAATCTAAGCTAACCCTATAAGCAACTGGGAAAATTCGAAACTGGAGTATTGGTACTAAATGAAGCTAAGGTAGCCGTTCAGAGGTTAAGGAAAAAACTGGGTCGAGTTTAGAAGACATGTTTCCAAGATGGCGGCTATTTCCAAGATGGCGGCTGTCTCCTAAGACAGCCCCAAAATGCATTGCAATGCCAAATTGATCCAGTTTTTTCCTCAACCTTGGAATGGTTATTTAGAAACTCAAATTTCAAATAGTGCTGTCTTTCGGGGTAATACAGCTATTTCAAACAAGGTTGGTGATGGTTTTTGTTACATGTTGCATACCAATCCTGAAATGCACTATGGGTGATGTGAATGCAATCAGCGAAAGACCACGACAACATGCGGAAATCTTATTAAACTTTGTCTGCACGTTTGACTGGCATGTTTTCTTCAAATTCTGTGGTTAATTTACTAACGCCTATGAATGTAATATATTTCAACCTGGTTAAACAACATGTAGCTTGCATCGTGCTACAACTGACCTTTACCAACTATTTCTTGAAATAGCATTCATTGGCCCGGTTGTACGAAGGGTGGATAGCGCTATCCTATAGATAAATACTTATCCAGTGGATAAGTCGATGGTGTTATCCAATAAAATTAACTATTAATATAATAATATAAAATTAACTATTGGATGAGATTTATCCGTCGGATAGCACTATCCGTCGTTCGTACAACAGGGCCCTAGTGATTGATTAGCGGTGGCAATCATTAACTGAATTGCACATACCGTAATCGATCGCGTATCTGAAGGTAAATTGCAAATACTTTTTATTATCCCTTTTCCTGACAACATCTTTACACCATCAATAAACACCATATCCATATCGATCCATGTTATTTTACAGGCATGTCGAGATGGGCGAAAAGACGTCGTCGAGAAGCTTCTGAGTGGAAATCGTTTAAAAACAATCAACGACCTAGACGATGATGGCATGGCTCCTCTACACTACGCTGCTCGTTCAAACCACGTGGAGATCGTTAAAATGCTATTGAAAGCGAACGCAGGTCAGTGGTAACTTTCTTCATTACTAGTCCCTCATAGTCTTATAGTCGTTGAACCTCCAGCACGAGAGTTGCGTGAGGATACGCTATTTTATGGGACGTCTGTCTTCTTATCAAACATAGCTATTAACTAATGAGCTCGCGAGAAATCTTACAAATATGGGTCATATCAAAGAGACCGACCAATAACCATTTTCAAATGATCCTTGATCACAGACTCGTTAACTCAGGGTTAGCCTTATTTCAGTGTCAATGACAATATTCACGACTACCAACCAACGGTAAAGTAACGAATGCACAAATTCAACAATACAAATACTTTGGAATTCCACGGACCTTGACTGGAACACATGAATATTCTGCACAAAATAGAGGCTAAATCTGAGCAACAGAGAACTCGGAATTGGAGTATTAACGTCAATTCTTTAAGTAAGTAATTTTATCTTAATGGTAAAGTCTGTATTGTTATATTCACATATTAGATGTGGAAGTGAAAGGGTCCGAAAAGATACAGAAAATAACGCCTCTGGTATGCGCAGCCAAGTTCAATGCCATCGAGGCTTGTCGTGTGCTGATACAGAATGGAGCCAATGTTAACGTTAAGGACTGTTATGGACAAACAGGTCTGCATCATACTACTAGGAGGACCCATCACAAAATTGTTGAGGTGAGTCGGTGAATAACAGTAATCTAAAATCTCATTTAACAGTTTACCATCGAATACGTCTGCTATTTCTCAAATACAACAAAATCTTGTACTGAAAAAAAAAAAAAMMAAACAAAACGGGTGGAATCCAAACTTCGAATGGACTACTTCGACGATACGGCGGCCATCTTGGATCGCAAGGCATTATTGGGCGTCCAGGGGGCAAATAAAGCTTTGTTTRAAGTAATGACGTCGATTGATATTAACAGCTCACCACAAGAAAATACAAAAGATGAATCAAGACGGCACATTGATCTCATTTACCCATAAAAGAAAGACAAACACACGAAACTCTCTATATTTTCCGTTATCTTTATTTTGCTTTGCCCCCTGCAAAGATGGCCGCTGTCTTATCGTAAAGTAATCCATTGCAGTAGATTTTTCTCATGTATATATTTATAAATATTAAATAAGTTTTCTTGGTTTGATTTTTGCCCTGCACCTGTGTGTCTTTTCTTTTATTGGTACATTTGCATCATTTATCCTTTTTTCCTGTGAAGGCAGGGACACCACAACAGTTATCTCACCAATTTCTGTCGGGGCCCTGTAGTGCCCAGAGCCGTGTACAAAAATTATTCATATTGCTACGGTCTCCTCTTTAGAGAGACGAAGCGTTTTCTCGTTCCTCTTCAAGCAACGATTTAACTTTTCCATGTCTTGTAACTTTTACTTTGTGTTTTGTTGTGTTCACAGCTTCTCTTGACAGAAGGCAAGATGGATGTGAATGTTGTTGACGTCGATAAAACTACTGCTTTGCACATGGCGGCTCAGGTTGGAGATCATTTGTCTGCTGAGTTACTGGTAAGCCACTTTGACTTCCAAACGTATCTGATTCTAGGACCATTTACAAGAATGACACCTTATTTCAGTTCTCTTAGTTTGAGTTCCGTTGTGACGAAAAACAGATAAATCCAGAGAAAAAACACCGTGGTAAGGGAGAAAAATAAAACATACTCACTCACATATGCAGTTCAATCGAGAATCGAGCGCGCTTCCCCAGGCATGGACTAGACAGCGCTGTAGCATACGAAATACGTGGGCATATGATAATGACTAATTTTTTTTTGGCCGATTGCATTGCCTCTCAATAATCCAACAAAGCCAAGTGAAATAATCTATAATATTGTCAGTATATTTGGCACTTTACCGCTACGATGATCGAAGGACCATGGACATTACGTTCACCCATGAAAAACTACGTTGCTGGAATGGGTGCATCAGATATCTCATCCAACTCGTCCTCAGTGACCAGCTTTAAGCTACGGACACACGGTGCAACATTGCGCGCAATGTTGCATGCAATTGATGTTGCGAGCTATGACACTACGCAAGTTGCTGCACGCAACGTTGCTGAAGTAGAAAACTATCCGCGCAATGCTGCACCGTGTGTCCGTGCCTTTATTTGCGCGCTTCTCATAAAGAAGACAATAAATTGCCGGTGAACTCGTCGGCAATTTCAAACATTTTAATTTTTTGCCCCACAGCTTTTCCACGGTATTGACATCGAAGCACAAGATAACGACGGATTCACTGCTTTTCACATTGCAGCAAGAGAAGGGAACACAAAAGTTTTGAAAACCCTACTTGATACAGGTATTATTACTAGATCCGCATTTTTAGGGAACATCAAGGAAATTTCCACTCATGACTGGAAAAATCACGGCATGCACTTGCCATGTCGTCGTGACCGTGCAAACATTGTGTACGAGCATTCTCATTGGTTGAAAAGTAGCTTAACACCCTGGTAGGTTAAACATTGTCAATGCCGTAGGATGTGTCGTGGCTTGTCATTGTCATACGAATTCCACTGATTAAATCCAGTGCCTTCCTTTGTAGAACGATGCGATTGGATGGTTTGTTTTTAATGCATTTTGATTGGCTCAACGTCAAAGCCATAAGATAGCCATGATACAATGTTATTACACTTCATACGTAACCATCATTATCAAATAATGCTAGATAGAACAGAACACTAAAAGTAATAACTGATCTAAGTTGCTGCCCTCATTATGATCCCAGTCTCCTAAGTATATTTTCGTTATGGGCAATGTCCTCATATATACGTCGTTTATAATGGCTTCTCAGTGCTCAGTATGTAGAAGGCTTCCTTGCTATCAGTGTCTTCCTCATTGGTGATTCTTGGCAGAGAAAATCTTTCATTTTCCCTGCCACAAATTGCCAACGAGGGAGACTCTGTTAGCAGTGAAGTAGAATGCAAAGTTAACCTTGGCATCTTTTCTCAGCACGAAGCTGTAAGATGAATACCACGTCACTGCTAGACATCCCAGATCACTATGGCAACACATGCCTGCACCTGGCCGTTAAATTTGGACACTGCCCTGTAAGTCAAATCAAAACAAGCCTTCCAATTTTTCTTCAATATATCGTGCTTGTTTATTTATGTATTTTATTTTGTTTCGTTAGGCAACTAAACTATGTATTGACTATGGTGCATCACCCTGTTGCTGGCAGGTACGCATCCTTGAATCTTATAACTAGATCTTTAGCTTTGGTAAACCAACATCTATTGAATATGACAATGACTCTGGAGCATCTTACAATGACACTAGTGAATGAGTCCAGTAAATCTGACGATGACTCACTTTAACAGGCGTCTCTACAAACTCCCTTGCACCTTGCTGCTGTATCTGGTAATCTATGTATCCTCAAGATGTTAATGGCCAACAAGCATTCAGACATTCATATTGAAGACGGTGATGGGATGACACCTATATTAAGGTAAATCTATTCATATATTTTGGTTTTTAATATAATTCATGTGACTGGCGTCTTTGTCACCAAGTTGAAGGTGTTTGGTGAGACTGATTAATGTGGTCTCATCTGTCATATCATGGTGGCCATTTTTGTTGCATATGTTGTTTTTTTTTCTTTTAAAGAGCTGCATTCCTTAAAAGTTTTACTGAATTTTGCGTGGATTTTCACTAGAACGTTCGGCTCTTCTCAAGGTTGACCTAGAAAAACCTAAACAGCGACCATGTTATGTAATAATGTTAAAGCTATAATTTTTTTCTCTTAAAAATCTGCATCGCTAAAAATTTTACTAAATTTTGCGTGCTTTTTCAATAGAAGGCTCAATAATTTTTCTCAAGGATGACTCCTAAGCAGCGCTCATGTTATGTTTAAGCTCTTACCAGCGGATTTAGAATTAAGAATATTTATTGGGAAAGAAAAGATGATGATGCGCATCTTCTTGCAGGTTTGACAGCAGTTCAAACGCTCTTGCTCCCTTTCGAGCTTGTTTTTTATATTTCACTTCAGTCATTTCTTTGCTCAACCGATTACCCTTCACATCAATGATGGAGATGACTTCAACTAAAAGCTTAAATTTTTTCTTGTACTATTTTACAGGTCTTCTTTGGAAGGGCATACTGATATTATGGAGTACCTTTTAGATGAGGTAAGCAACATTTTATCTCGAGAAAGGATGTTGTCAAACTACGTATCAGTGTCAAAACATTAATACCAACGGTTAAGTAACGAATAAGCAACATATGAATATTCTGCACAAAGTCGAGGAACTAAACCTGAGCAAAAGAACTCGAAACTGCCGGAGTATTTCTTCCGAAAGTGGTATACTATCAAGAGCTCTTAACTCCGTTTTAATTTTCAGTATTTTCTCTCTATATTGCTTTGTTTTCTGTCAATATCTTACTTTAGCTACGTATTGACAGTCGACCCAAAAGCATTGTCTAGTTCCTATGCGACAAATTAGTGCCCACTAACTACTGAAGACTAAATCATGTTCTGCCTCCAGGGAGCCCAGCTTAATTCTCCTCCTGGCAGTGGAAGTCCTTCTCCATTGATGTGTGCTGTTGAACGTGGACAACACAAGGCCATTGAGTAAGCTATAGATTATACGGACAACTTATTTTAAAATTCCTAAATAAAATGGATTTAAAAAATGGCGCACTTCAATTTTTGTTTCTCAACTTTCTTACTTTCTTTATCTAATTATCAAGGGTATTGGTGGCCAAAATTAATTAACAACACTTATGCTTAATATTACAATGGTTCTCTTATGTGATGGGGATCGTATTCATTTGTTTTAGATTTCTTCTCTCTCGAGGTGCCTTGATTGACCTGGTGGATAACCAGTGGAGGAATTGTCTTCACATAGCATCTGCTTGTGCTGATCCAGAAACAGTTCAGATTCTTCTTCAGGTACGGATTCCTAACTTTTTAGTTGCCATGTTCATTGCTTGCTTGCTTGCCTGTTTGCCTG